TATTTAAGGAGACATATCAGCTAGTATCAATCTGATATCCGATACAGCTGCCTCCAGCTGGTAAGTCTGTTGTGGTCCAAGGGGAGGAAGGAGGGAAGGGGGGTGGGGGGGCAGGGCCATGGGATGGAGGCACAGCTCATGGGAGGGGGGACTCCCGCCACTGCTTGCACCCCGGGAGGATGAGGGGGTGTGCCCCTCATATCTGCACAGGGCGGGGCAGGACAGGCTAGAGCTGGCACTGTGTGGGGCTCTTCTCGGTGGGGGCTGGGCTCAGAATGGGTGCCAACAGCACTGGGAGAGGCTGCAGCCACCCCAAATTTCACCACAGCTCTGCTCCCAGCCCTACACACCAGGCGCAGCCCAGCTCCATGTCCTGCCTCCACCCACACACCGGGAAGAGCCAAGGCTGTGCCAGCAGTGCTGGAAGCAGAACTGCAATTAAATCTGGGGTGGATGCAGCATCCTCCCAGCACCGCCGGCACCAACTCCAAGGCTTTCTGGCATTGCACGGGGCTCTTCTTGGCAGGGGTTGGCTTGGAATGGGTGCTAGGAGGGTGGTGCAGTCACCCCAAATATAACTGCAGCTCCGCTCCCAGCGCCATCACTGCTGCCCAGCACAGTCTTGGCTCTTCCCAGCAGATGGGTGGAGGCAGGACATGGAGCAGAACTGTGGCAAAATTTGGGGTGGATGCAGCCCCTCCCAGCACCTGCTCCAAGCCCAGCCCCTGCCAAGAAGAGCCCCACGCAACGCCAGCTCCAGCCCGCCCCCCCACAGATCCAGGGGGCACACATTCCCGTCCTCCCTCACCACGGGGACCTTGATCTGCACCCCCATGCCCCTTCCTTCCCCCCTCCGCTTCCAATTCACCAGCTGGAGGCAGCTCTCCACACTGCCAGCTCTGTTCCGTGCTGTGCGGTGGCTACATGCAGCACAGGCATTTATTGGCCAAATTATTGGCCCCATCGGGCTAATACCTGACGCAGCAAATTTTCTTTATATTGGTACCTATCTGATATCAGACTGATGTATCAGTGCACCTCTACTGTTTACCAAGGCACCCCAGGGGAAGGCTAGGAATAATGGTCATAAACTGACAGAGGATCACTTCAGATTAGACATGCAGAGTAAGAGTTTTGAAGAGATGGGAGCCCAGGAAGGGTGGCTGTGCCTTAAGGAAATGATCCTTCGGGCACAGAGGGAGACGATCCCGATGTGGGGAAAAAGGGGGAAAGGGGCCAAGAGGCTTCCTTGGCTGACCAGAAAAATCCAGAGCAGCCTACGGGCAAAAAGGGGGGCATATAAAAAGTGGAAACGGGGAGAGATTACTAAAGAGGAGTATACCTCCTCTGCTCGCGCTTGTAGGGAGGCAGTTAGACAGGCCAAAGCTAACAAAGAGCTGAGGATGGCATCCCAAGTTAAGGTTAACAAATAATTGTTTTTTAGATATATAGGGAGTAAAACGAAGGCCCAGGGTGGAATAGGACCTCTACTAAACGGGCATAAGCAATTGGTGATGGAAAGAGGGGACAAGGCTGAACTCCTCAATGAGTTCTTTGCCTCAGTGTTCCTAAGTGAGGGGCAAGACAAGTCTCTCACTGGGATTGTAGAGAGGCAGCAGCAGGGCGCCAGACTACCATGCGCAGACCCTGAGATGGTGCAGAGGCACTTGGAGGAACTGGATGCTCTTAAGTCAGCAGGCCCGGATGAGCTCCATCCAAGGGTACTGAAGGCACTGGCTGACGTCATTGCACAGTCACTGGAGGACTGGAAAAGGGCCAATGTGGTCCTCATTTTCAAGAAGGGGAGAAAGGAGGACCCAGGCAACTATATGCCGGTCAGTCTCACGTCCACCCTTGGCAAAGTCTTTGAAAACATTATCAAGGCTCACATTTGCGAGAGCCTGGCAGGAAAAATTATGCTGAGGGGAAACCAGCACGGATTCGTAGCAGGTAGATCATGCCTGACTAATCTAGTCTGTTTTTATGACCAGGTTACAAGACACCTGGATGCAGGAGTAGGGGTTGACGTCATTTACTTAAACTTCAGGAAGGCCTTCGATACGGTATCCCACACCATACTGGTGAACAAGTTAAGAGGCTGTGACTTGGATGACTACATAGTCCGGTGGGTGGCGAATTGGCTGGAGGGTCATACCCAGAGTCGTAGTGGATGGGTTGGTATCGACCTGGAAGGTGGAGGGCAGGGAACAACTACAAGCAGACCTGGACAGGTTGGACAAATGGGCAGAAAACAACAGAATGCAATTCAACAAGGAGAAATGCAAAGTGCTGCACCTAGGGAGGAAAAATGTCCAGCATACCTACTGCCTAGGAAATGACCTGCTTGTACTAGTGAACTCCAAGATGAACATGAGTCGTCAATGTGACGAAGCCATCAGAAAAGCTAATGGCACTTTATCGTGCATCAGCAGATGAATGATGAACAGAACCAAGGATGTGATAATTCCCTTCTATCGGGTGCTGGTCAGACCGCAGTTGGAATACCGCGTGCAATTTTGGGTGCTGCACTTCAAGAGAGATGTGGAGAACCAGGAGAGGGTCCAGAGAAGGGCCACTTGTATGGTTAAGGGCTTATAGGCCAAGCCCTATGAGGAGAGACTAGGGCACCTGGCCCTCTTCAGCCTCCGCAAGAGAAGGTTGAGAGGCGA